AAGTTGAAAACAAAGTTGTTGGATTTTTGTCTTTTGAATTTGTGGCCGATAAACTTTTAAAGTTTGTGATTGAAAGTTGTTGTAAATCAATCGAGTACTGAAAAATTATTTAGGTTATTGTTACTTTGAGCTGAGATTTTCTAGTCTACTACGATTAAGTTGAATTTAATTTTTGGGTTCTTTGAATTCAAAAATAGAGATTGAAAAATCAAAGTTCTTCAATAATTCTTTGTTGGTGACTCATCGATTAAGTTATTGAGATTTTTGAAGTATTATGTGTGTTTGGATGTTGAGAATCATCAAGTTAAGTGAATACAATTATTATTGAAGTGATACAAACTGATTTGAAGAAAACAACTTTTACATTACTCCATTGTTGAGATTTGAAGCTTTATTGGAGTTGGGCTATGGGTTATTTTTGTTGTTGGCAGGGACATAAATTATTTGGGTCCATCTAATTAATCTCAACCATTTAAGTAATTACGTATTTTGGGTATTAATTGGAAAAAAATTATCTGAGTTTTTAAAATTAATCCCAACATTTCACATGTTTATTCTAAGGTTGGGACCCACATATTTAACGGATAAAGGATATATTTGGCCCAAAGTATAATAGGAGGGGTATATTTGGACCAAAAGTATAACGAAGGGTATATATAAACTATTTTCTATAGGTGTGTCAATTCAAAAGTGGACAAGTAATTAGGGACAGACGGAGAATTAGTTAAATAATTTGAAAAAGTGAATATAAATTAAATCGCACCGACCAAATAGTTGTTCCATAAGGGTTGTCACATAAAATATTTCATAATCTACCATTAATAATCCCTTCATTAAATTATATAATCTACCATGAATACTTTATATATATATATATATATATGGTATATAGGATTTTTACCATAAATCAAGAAATGTTTCTAGGTATAAAAAGCTAAAATTGGAGTTTCCTATATTATTGTTAACAAAATTATTGACTTGTCCAACAATACTTGTATATTAGACTTTGCATATTTCTTAAAAAATTATAAATAGAAGAATAATTTACTATATCACACTTTGAGTATAATAATAAATACAATGTCATGAAAAATGTAATAGAGAAATAACTATAACTGATAATAAGGGTAAATTAGAAATTAAGTGTAAAATTATTCATAATTTCATAAAATGGACAAGTATTATTGGATATCCCAAAATAGTATAGTGGATAACTATTGTTGGATGGAGGGAGTAATTACTTTTCCAAGAGAACTCAGACATATTCATCTATCACTCATATCCATATGGTAGTATATATTATACAATTTCTTTAAAGAAGTTTATATATTATTGTACTTATATATTACGTATATTGCATTATTTTATACCATATTTAATATTATTAGTTTTTATATATATTAACTAGTATATACTAGAGTATATAATATAATTTTGTTTGTATGTTACACAAAAAGTATTCTATATGTTATTTATATTTATTCATATTTGAACATATATTATTGTATTCGTGTATTAGGTATATTGAAGAAGCATAATACGTTGTTCATAAATAATTTATACATCGTATACTATATATCAAATTAAAATTTACATTGAGTTATTTTTTCAATTTCATGGAAAAGTGAGAAAAAATGAAAATAAATATGTGAATGTCAAAAAGGAAGCCAAGTTTTAATGCATTTATATAGAGATATTTTAGGAATATGAAAAGTTGTACACAATGTAAGTTTTAAAACTAGAATAAATAAAAATATTTATACCTTTTTAAAAAGTAGTATTTGTGTAATTTTGCCAGAGATAAACGCAATTTGCTCCCTTTGTTATGGACTAGATTTTTAGCCCAACCAAGTTTGTCTTTAATCAAAGGATGTCCAAGGCGGCCTTTATTTTGAGCGATTTTGGGCAAATTAAAGAAATTACATACTTTTAAGGGAAAATTACAATCTATCCTTTAAAAATTTATAATTACATAAATCCCTCAAACGAATACAATAATATAAGCGCTGATACATTAATTTGATGCGCGAGATACATTAATCGTTAAGTATGATACATTACATTTTATACATGATACACTAATCTGATGTACATTTTATACATGATACACTAATCTGATGCGCGAGATACAATAATATAAGCGCTGATACATTAATCTGATGCGCGAGATACACTAATTTGATGCGCAAAAATGAGGGATTTTGGAGATTTATAAAATTTATAGGGGATAATGGTAATAAGTAAACTAAAATGTGAGATTTTTGTAATTTTTCCTTTAATTTTTAACCTCGAATTTTGTGGTTTTTAATTTGTTTTTCGTAAGCACTTCAAGTGATAATATGTGACAGAAATATCTTTGACATCAAAATAACAAATAATTTTTACTCAACATAAATTTGTATTTTTATATAATAATATAACATAAATTATATTTTTTTTAAATAACAAGTTACATAGCTTAATTCCTATTAAACTTATGCCAACGTTAGCTTACGCCTAGAGGCTAGGGATATCTATTGACTACACTTATCTTTATTTGCAATCAAACTCTCCTTCCTTCTAGCTTCAGCATGTAGCAAAGTTCTCATTTATTATTTTCAAACTACTTCCACCTTTCACATTAACCGTTAAAATTCTCCTTTTTAGAATCAAATGATAAGGACTTTGACTAACATTTTACGATGTATTTTTTCATCACATTGATATGCAAAAATTGTACTTTTCGTATAGTTTTTGAATATCTAAATTTTTGTTTAAAATATCAAATCAGTGTAATCAAATTTAATTTTGAAAATTAGTAAAATTGACTTTCAAAAAGCACAACATGACAACTAATTGGAATATAATGAAATAGAGCCACTTTGAGGTTCCCTTTGAAATGAGGGATGTAAGGGAGGGGCATGGGGACGATGTTCGAAATCCAATCAGAATAATCTACTGCCTTAATGAAATCATCTTCTCCTCCTTTCTTTTGAAGTTCAATGTCGAAAATCCTATTCTCAGCCTAGCTAAAATGAACAGAGAGGGAGTAGTTAATTTGTTCGTGTTTCGTGCGATTATAAAGATATTTAAAATTTATGAAATATATAATTTGGTAAATACAATCGTAACGAAAGACATAAAGCTCTAAACACAAAAATGAAAATAAAATAAAATAAAATATTGAGGATTAAGTTACTATGGTTCTATAGATCAACCAAAGAAGTAGACATGCACTAACACGTTATGTGTAGCCATAAACGAAATCTTAGTACTTCATATATTAACGCATTTGATCAAATGCAAGAGCAATAGAAACAATTTTCAATTCCTCCCTTTCCCCATGAGTTCAATCTTAATCGAAAATAAAAATAACGATAAATGCGCATCTCTTTTGGGATCGGAGTGTGAAGTTAAGAATGATATGCATTCATTGATAAATAATTAAAAAAAGATCAACACTAATTTGCTTGGACTATGTGATGCTTATAACTTAATAAGTATATATTTTCATAGCACCTTCTTCACTTTAGTACTAATTGAATTTGTTTAAATAGTAATATTGCATGAAGATAAATAGTAATATTTTCATAGATCAACAACAATGCTTTGAATGAATTGTTGCCTTCTTTTCCCCTTTGAATGGATCATTTCTTTTACTTTGATATATGGTCAATAATTGAACAATCAAACCAAAACTGATAACAACCAAACCATTAAAGTCTAGTTCTTTCCCGTCAGCCTTTTGCACACATGAACTCTACGCTAAAGACGCGCAGGCACAGCTTCAAACATCATGTTTTAAGCAATTGAAGTATCAATTTGGAATGAAATATTACATTCTGCATGCGTAATTAATAGAAATTGACTTGAGCACCTCAAGGTCTACCAAATCTCTGTTAATAATTAGTAACGTTATTTATATTTTGTCTTATTCAGTTGAATGGATCCAGTTGACTGATTGTTAATTAGTTAATGAATGTCAAGTAGTCATATTTCATGTCCTTCCGTACCACTTGTGTAACGTTTTCATTATACTATTCATGATTCAAACTTTAATTACACTAGAAATTAAGCAATTAACCGGTTTCCTCTCTCTTTTTGTCTCGTTTTTTTCCTGGTTCCCACTCGGTTTTTGGAAATCTGGATTGCGCACTGCAGGGCTTAATTAAGGGGGTGGCGCAACCAGGGGACCAGGGCTCGAATATGAGACCTCATATTAAAGGTGAACAATCTCATCACTACACCACAATTCATAGTTCTTTTTGTCTCATTATTGGTAACTAAAATTTGCCAGCGGTTGTTGACAACTTCAAAGAAGAAAAGAAAGTAAAGTATATTACACGAATTAAGATATCACGTTCTGAATTACTCATATATAAAGCTTCTTCTAATTATAAGTCAACTAGAAATAGACGACCTTTCAGATTCTCTATATATCCACCTTCTCTTTTAAAGTTAACAGTAGGTATTGTTTCATTCTAAGAGTAAATTTCATAGATGGTAACGTAATTATGAGTTTTTTTTCCATTTAAGTTACTTAACTATGCTTTTTTTAACACAAAAATTACAACATTTGTCCTTGCTAACACAAGAACCACATATGTGTTACCCATAAAAAATTGTAGTTATTCAACTAGAAATAGAAAATAAAAGAAGTATAAGATTATTACCCATCAAATTTGGGTTATGGAATAGGTTGGGTCATTTAGAAAAGGCAAAATTTTATAGAAAAGACAGGATATACCCGTCAACTTTGTCATTTAGAGCTGATATAACCCTTGTTGTGAAAATAGCTCTAAATAGCAAAATTGAAGTGTATATTAGAATACATAGTTCAAATCATGTACAACTCTTAGTGTACAATGTACATATACTATGCTGTTAATTAATTACAATTAGTCCATAAAACCAAACATATATTATATATAACTCACATAATATGTTTCATGGCCACTAGTAGTACTGTAGTACTTATATAACTTGACAAGTAATTTTGATCTTTAAAACATCAGTTGCAGATGAAGAGTGGTCCAGCAGAGCTGTTTAAGAGCTTTAGAAAAATTGTTTTACCAATCTTAACGTTACTTCTCTTACTCAAAATCACTTTCTTTTCATTTGATACTAACACTTATTCTTTGCTACAAAATATTGAACCACTCCCTATTAATCATAAGGCCATTACCCAATTACTGTCTCCAGGAATTACCAACAATTCAGAGAAAACAGGGGAGAAACAGCAATTATGTAACATCTTTGTGGGAAAATGGGTGCCAAATCCAAAGGGACCATACTATACAAATGAGACAAACTGTGTGATCGATGATCGACAGAATTGTATGAAATATGGAAGACCGGATAGTGATTTCTTACATTGGAGATGGAAGCCAAATGATTGTGAACTTCCACTATTTGATGCTAATCAATTTTTGGAAATTGTTCGTGGAAAGACTTTGGCTTTTGTTGGAGATTCAGTAGCAAGAAACCAAATGCAGTCCCTCGTGTGCCTTCTATCTAGTGTACGTAAGCATTCAATTTTCGTGCTTCCATCCCATTTTGCTATGTTTTCTGCTACTCATAAAAATTTCGTTACTCAAATGTAAATCTCTATGATAGTTATTACGTACTAATTTATACAAAGGGCAGCTCGGTCCACGATGCATCCTACATTCTAAATGACGATTTGATGCTTATGCAAGTGAAATATGATAAGATGTTACTCATTTAGAAATGCTAAATGACATAATTCAGATGAGAGAATTGGCATAATCATAGTTGTAATATCCAGCTTCCTACATTGTTGCTAATCAATAATATATCATGTTTATATCGCAGGCGGTCATTCCTGTAGACGTATCGGAGACTCCGGACACAAGATTCAGGCGATGGTTGTATAAAGATTACAACTTTACAATCATGGCCCTGTGGTCTCCACTGTTGATCAAATCCCATGAAACTGATCCTAGTTACACTCTCATGAATCTGTATCTCGACAAGGCCGATGATGCCTGGGCAAGTCAGGTTGACAAAGCTGAAATTGTCATAATCTCTGGAGGCCAATGGTTCTTTAGGCCATTTTTGTACTACGAAAATGATCAGCTCATTGGATGTTACCTATGCAATGATAAAAATGTTACAAAACAGAGCCATTTTTATGGATACAGAATGGCGTTTCGTACAGCTTTCAAGACCTTTTTAAGCCTGAAGAAATTGAAGGGTCGATTGGTAATGCTAAGGCCATACTCCCCTTCACATTTTGAGAATGGGGAATGGAATAATGGAGGGAATTGCAATAGAACAGGTCCCTTCAAGAAGGAAGAAATGAAATTGGACGGTTACGAATTGAAGATGTATATGACTCAATTGGAGGAATTTAAGGCAGCAGAAAGGGAAGGTAGAAAAAGGGGCAGTGTCAAATTCAAATTGCTTGATACAACTGAAGCAATGGTAATGAGACCAGATGGACATCCAAATCATTATGGACATTGGCCAAATGAAAAGCAAATACCTGATTGTGTGCATTGGTGTATGCCAGGACCTGTTGATACTTGGAATGAGCTTTTGTTAGCAACTCTAAAGATGGAAGGAGATGGATTTATTCAGAGATAGAAACTGAATTTTTTAGATGTATTCTTGGTACATTAATAATAGTACTAACTTTTTAGATGTACGTGTAATAATAATCTTACACGAAATCTCCACAAGTTCTAGTAGTCCATGCAGTTTTAACTTTTAACCATGCTTTGCTATGTCCGTAATCAAATCTTCAATCAATGCTATGTCCTTGCGATGCATATAAACTTATGTTAATAAAGGTTAAGTTTTCTAAACCTTGGGAAAATTTTCAAAATGTCATTATTTTAGCATTTAATGGAACCTCTTATCAACATTTTCAATATTTATTAAAAATGTCAATAGTTTAGCTTGTTATTCTTCTGATTTATGTATTTTTTTTATTTGTTTGATTTGAAAGAATACAATTATTTAATAACAAAAAAGAGAAAATCATGGGAGAGAATATTCACTTAAAATTCTCATCAATTACAATTTCAAAAGTAATTGATTGTATTCATTCCAATATGTATGATATGTGAATTTGTATTCATTATGGTTTTCATGTTTGGGTTTGGATAATGACATTTGTATTTCTTTATTAGTTTGTATTCATTCTAATAGATAAACCAAATTGATTTGTAGTTATTTAAGAAGTATATTTGTATTCATATACTTATGTAAACTCATGTTCATTTAGAAAAGATACAACATTGGTTTGTATATTTTTTCAAAAATGTATATTCTTTCTTAAAACTCCAACAATATTTGTATTCTAGTCATCAAAACATACAAATTTACAATCATAGTAACAATCAAAATTTGTATTTCAAAAAAATAAATGTATTTCATGACAAAAATTGTATTTCTTATCTGTTGTGTATTTCAAAAATATATTATGTTCAATGTCTAATTTATAGAAGATTTCAAATTATGTTGTATTTCAAGCATCCAACATACAACAAAATCAAAACAATTCAATCATTCATTGTTTGTATCCCAAGAAGATTACAAATAATTTTTTTTTTTTTTTACTTTGAAATATGACCGGTGACTCTGTACTTTTATCTCCTTTTGGTTCTTCTGCATGTGAGAAAGATGCAAAAATACTTCAATTCATTGAAGAGATAACTAGAATTGTTGATGTCGTCTAACAAAGTGTTTTGAACATACAAAATATGATCCAAATCCATTTTTGAATAACTTTTTCAATAGCCATTTTTGAATCACTTCCAAACAAATTAAAGAATCACCAGTTAATAAATACATGATCATTTTTATATTTCATCGACAATCTCGAAGTTCAACGAAATCAGTCAAATTCACTTCGAAATCCCAATAGATTATTTCAAAATTTTCTTCCTTAACGAAAAAAATCGCAAATCAGTCGAATTCACTTCAACAAAGGTTGAAAATCTTTTGAATGATTTCTGAGATTTCTTAGAAAAATAGAGGAATTTGATTTTAAGAATGCAAGATTTAAGTTAGTTGAGGAAATCATGAGAGAGAGAGAAAGATATGATAGAATTTCGGTAGAAAATTTAAAGAGAAAAAAGTGGATAATGGAGTCTTTTATTTTTTTACTTTCACACTTAATTGAGTAAAAAAGTGGATCTAATTTGAGAAATAAAAGGAAGGTAGATGAATTATATTAGGATACATTTTATTTACTAAAATATTGATATTTTGACATTTTTAATAATTATGTTAAAGATTTTGACTAGTTAGCTAATTTATCCTTGTTTAAAAACTTGATTATTTTGTTGTCAAACCAATTGGGTGGATAAAAGGCCAAGTTGGTCCATTCGTTATGGGCTAAATTTTCAGCCCAACCCAAGGCTGGTCCTTAATCAACGTCCAATAAGCAGTCAGCGGGACAGGTGTTTTGTTGATTTGAGAAAATAAGTGTCTTGATCGGTGGAGTTCCCAATTCCTTCAGAAATTCCCCCCTCCATTGTGTCCATACTTACTCTACCAGATGCCTGTTAAATCAATGACCTGTCTCACACCCTCACTTTGCTATCATCGTGACAAATGAACTACAAAATTTATACCAACACTCTTAATTAGAGGTCTCAAATTTGAATTTTGAGTAGAATGAAATCCTCTCAGATGAATCATGTAGTGTACTATTCAAATTTTACTGAAACTCCAATTTTTGAAAAACCAAAAAAAACTTGCAAAATCTGTAGTTTCCAATACAGTACTATTAAATGTAGATTGAAATAAATTAATTACACGTTTACTATGTATAATAAATTATTACGTAGGCCTTTTTTCAGTAACATGTAAAAATAATTTAGCCAATCTATAATAAAACACTGATATCTGATTCTTTGCTTCCTAAATTATCCAGTTTAATTTAATCCCTTCCCAAATGGTTAACTTACACCTACAGATATCTATTAACTACTATACTCATCTTTACTTGCAATCAAACTCTTCCCTTTCTTTCAGCTCCAGCATATAGCAAGCTAGGTCCCATTCATTATTTTCATGGAGTTGAATTCTTGAAATTTCGTTAAAACTAAGTCAAATTTCCATCTCTTTCCTCTTTGCTGGCGGCTATTCGAACAGGTATGTATGTTTCTCAACTACTTCTCCATTCTGACGTACCAAAATTGACAGTTCTACACAAATAAAATATGCACTTGACGCAATTAATAATTTTTTTATATTGATTATTTTTCAGATCAAATTAACGCGCTTAAGCTTTCGATATCTTATCAATCATGGTGTTGAAAAACCTAACAAACCCTATAAAACCCCTCCACAGCCAACTTCATATTCCTCACAATCCTTTGCCATGGCATTATCCTCACAGCCTTTCATCTTCCCAGGTACCCAATCAACTGTTCTACCTGACCCATCTGCCTTTTTTGCTCCTCATCTCCTCTCGAACCCTTTGCCCACTAATTCTTTCTTCCAAAATTTCGTACTCAAGAATGGTGATCAACCTGAATTCATACACCCATTTATCGTCAAATCGTCGCTTTCATCCCTCACTATTTGTTACCCATCTCAGTTCCACAATCCGGCTTTTATTTACCAGACTTTTATTGCTGATCTGACCATCAGAGCGTTGAATAATCCCAATCCAAATGCACCCCATGTAATTTCATCCTTTGATGATCTTAGTGTCACATTGGACCTTCCCTCTAGCAATCTTAGGTTCTTTCTTGTTAAAGGTTCCCCCTTTATTACGTGTAGTGTTATTGAAAATGTAGCGATATCGATTTCCACAATTCACGCCATTCTTCAATGTTCTCCCAATGGTAATCGTACTAAATATACTATCAAGCTCAACAATGGGCAAACTTGGGTTTTGTATGCTTCATCCCCAATTGATTTGAGTAATGATGTATCGTCTATCACGTCTGGTGTGTTTTCCGGTATTATTAGGATTTCTTGTTTGCCAAATTCTGATCAAACTAGTGAAGCAGTTCTTGATCGTTTCAGTTCTTGTTATCCTACAAGTGGTAATGCTGTTTTCAAGCAGCCATTTTGCGTGGAGTACAAGTGGGAAAAGAAGGGATGGGGTGACTTGCTTATGCTGGCTCATCCCCTCCATCTTCAGCTCCTTTCTGCTGTGGATAGCTCGGTAACTGTCTTGGAGGGATTTAAGTACAATAGTATTGATGGTGAGCTTGTTGGTGTTGTTGGAGACTCATGGATATTGAAGAGTGACCCTGTTTCTGTAACATGGCATTCCATTAAAGGTGTTAAGGAGGAGGCATGTTTAGAAATAATTGATTCGTTGAATAAGGATGTTGCTGCCTTGGATTCAAAGGGAGTATCTACAACATCATCTTATTTTTTTGGAAAATTGATTGCAAGAGCAGCAAGGCTGGCATTGATAGCTGAAGAGGTTTGTCACCTTGATGTTATCCCGGCAATCCGCAAATTCTTGAAGGATACAGTTGAACCATGGTTGGAGGGGACTTTTCAAGAAAATGGTTTCTTTTATGAATCAAAATGGGGTGGAATTGTGACTAAGCAAGGGGCGTTGGATTCGGGAGCTGACTTTGGTTTTGGGGTCTATAATGATCACCATTTTCATATTGGTCATTTCCTTTATGCAATTGCAGTGCTAGCCAAGATAGATCCCATCTGGGGGAGGAAGTATAAGCCACAAGCTTATGCACTTATGGCGGATTTTATGAATTTAAGCAGGCGATCAAATTCAAAGTATGCCCGGTTGAGGTGTTTTGACTTGTGGAAGCTGCACTCTTGGGCTGGAGGATTGACAGAGTTTGCTGATGGACGAAACCAGGAGAGCACAAGTGAAGCAGTTAATGCATACTATTCAGCAGCTTTAATGGGTTTGGCCTATGGGGATACCCATCTTGTTGCCATTGGATCGACCCTTTCAGCTTTAGAGATTCATTCTGCACAGACTTGGTGGCATGTGAAAGAGGGAAGCACTTTATATGGGGAAGAATTCACAAAAAACAACAGGGTGGTGGGTGTTTTATGGTCTAACAAAAGGGATAGCGGCCTTTGGTTTGCTCCACCTGAATGGAAAGAGTGTAGACTTGGAATTCAGGTCTTACCAATATTGCCCATTACTGAACTTCTGTTTTCAGACGTGCAGTTTGTGAAGCAGTTGGTCGAATGGACACTGCCAGCTCTGGCAAGGGAAGGGGTTGGGGAAGGGTGGAAAGGGTTTGTGTATACTTTGGAAGCAATATATGATAAAGTGGGTGCTCTAAACAAAACTAGGAGCTTAACTGGGTTTGATGATGGAAATTCTCTTTCAAATCTTCTATGGTGGATTCATTCTAGAGATGATGAAGTGGGGGAATCTGATAGAGCAAGCAAGTTCTGCTGGTTCAGACACTACTCTCATTGATTCTTTTACGGTGCGTTACATTTGAGTATTCTCAATATGATCTGATGGGGACAAAAAAAAAGGATATTTTGTTTGGTGATTTGGTATTTGTCTTTTCTCTTTCTGTATATAAATTTGGAGCGCTATTTTGCAGCGCAATGCACTGTGATATGATTGCTGTAATTTTCTGCCAGATCTTGAGTTGTTATGAATAAAAGTCCAACTT